CGCGGGACCCGCGGATTACCCCACAGATACTCTAAACAGGCTTGCGCATCCAGCTTGAGGCCTTCCTCCGTTGGGGGAACACTGTCGCTGAGGCCAAAGCCACGGTAATCCACCATGAGAATTGCGCATGGAAGCTTTGAAGTAAGCATCGCAGCGATGGGTATACGGTGGCCAACATTCCCTGCATTCCCATGAAAGTACAGTATGACATATTGTGGTTGCACGGTGCACGAACCACTACAAGTAGACGCAGAGGCAGCCGTATTCGCAGTACAGCCGGTGTTAAAAGCAGTACTGCAGCTCGTTGAAGATGCAACGTTACGTCCGTTACCTTGCTGGGCCTGTTGCTGCTGATCAGATGAAGGCCACATGATATAGCCACGCAATGTGACACCATCACTGGTACGTATATGTACGTTTTCAAAGTTGGTGTACCCTTTGTCCGCCGGACTCTCACAAAGAATTGTGCTATCAGCTGGCATATTTGGGTAATACAGCAATTTGTTCTGTTTTTCGCGTGACCGATTGCTGAGGCCTATCAGGCAAACAGATAGCAGAACCACCACAATAAAACTCCACAAGCACCACGCCAACAGAAACTCCATGAATCCCATTTGGGGCAGGGAAGAGAAATCAAACCAAAAGCTAACTACGGGTGTAGAATTCAACTGGATCCGATTCACAGTTCCCAAAGCGCACTCTATCTGCAGAGATGTGAAGCGAGGAAAAACCAACTCTACCTACCTGTTTTGCTCCTACCTTTTTCCTAGGAACACGTTCATGGGCAATGTGAAGTCGACGAAAACAATGAAGGAGGAGTCCAAAATCAAGGAGCGAAAGAGAAAGTGTATGTGCGTGAATGCGCTCCTATTTGTGTGGTACCATGCCACTAGTGGTGGTGCAGCGGGCACACGCAGCAAGAAAGAGAAGCGAAGGATCACTTGACGAGCAACACATAATAAATAAATAAATATATATATATATATATATATATACTCCCAATGGGGTCTTTTCCTCATATATCACTCCGAGTGGACAGCTAATATATCCTTTTTTCCCCTTCAAATACAAAAAAAAGACACTCGCAGGATTTCTTTTTTTTTTGCTTTTAGAGCAGTAGAGAAGCAGCAGCGCCGATTCCACGTGGACCTCCGGCTTTTGCACACATCACTCCCTCCCGCGTCATCCCGTTGCCAGCTGCCAGGTACCGCTTTGCCCTCGACCGAGAAAGCGCGCAGGGAGAAAATGTGGAAGAATGAGAGAGAGCGAGAGAGCTATCTGGGAAGGAAAAAAATACGTGTGTTTTTTGTGCGTGCGTGTCTGTGTGCACACGTCGTCCGTACTCTTCCCTTATCCGATCCCTCACCCTCTCACCTTCCGTTTCTTTGCTTTATCGTGGAATTCAATCCCTTCTCAAACTTCTTTGCGCGTTGTCGCCCACCCGATTCTTACTCTCTTTATACCTTTCCTCCCCGTTGTTGCTCTCGTTGATCTTTTCTCCTTTCCTCACTCAGTGCTCACTTAGCAGGGGCAACTGTCCTTCTTTTCCTGTGGCTTGGGCTGGTTGAGGTTGACGGACTGCGGCAACACTACCTCCTCCTCCGCGGTAGCCTTTTTCGCCAATGCGGCGGTGGCCACAGCGACAAAAGCCTCATCTACCGACACGTTCTCCTTGGCAGACGTCTCGAAGTAACGCATGTCGCTGCCCTCCGCGCTACTCGAGGCAGCAGCACCACCCACCTCCGTGCCACTCTGCGCAACACACCAAGCCTGTGCGGTTTTACTCGCAACTTGGCGGCGGTCAGCGAGGTCCGTCTTGTTGCCGATCAGCACACTGTCGCGCTTACCCGCCTGGATGTTGAACTCCTCCAGCCACGAGCTGATGTGGGCGAAGGACTCCTGCTGGGTAACATCAAAAACAAGAATACACGCGTCTGCTCCACGGTAAAAGGCAGAGCCCAGCGACTGGAACCGCTCCTGGCCGGCAGTATCCCAAATCTGCAGCGTCACCATCTGCCCGTCGATCTCCAAGTCCTTCGTAAGGAAGTCGGCGCCGATGGTAGCCTTGTAGCGGCTGTCAAACTTCTTGTTCACATACTGGTGCATCAGCGACGTCTTGCCTACACCGCTGTCACCAAGGATGATGATTTTCAGCAACTGCCGCTTAGATGACATGTCTATGGGCTCTCACTCCTGTCGATTCGTCACCAAACTCTTCTTCTTGCGCAGTTGGATACGTTCTTATGTTTTGCGGTAGGAAATTTTGTTCCACTTGCCTTTGCGGGGCACTTTACAACAATGATGAAGGGCAAAAGAGTAACACCTAGTTTCGAAGCGAAGACATAACAAACAGAAGAGGTCCTCCCACACACACAGACACACACACCCACACCGAAGCAGATATTATACAGCAGTGGTAGCCGAGTAGCAGAAAAAAAAACAACAACTAAAACTATTTTTTTTTCCCAGTTGGCTTCTGAGCTAAGACGAGGCGAAACATTCAAAGAAATAGTCATCACCTCTTTTGTGTGCAAAGTCCCCGTATCTACCCCATGTATTGCATCCCCTATTTCCCTCGTTTTTTTTCTTATTGGGTTTCACCCTTCCCCGGCAGTCATCGTCTTTCGCTAGTTTGTGAGACGCAGACCCCAGAGCGCGTCCAGCCCCCGGCACACGGTGAAGGATCGCAATCGGAGACTAGTAGCAACGGGCACACAAAAAAAAAAAAAACAAGGTAGTCAAGGTGTACATCTCGCCCACTCGCCACTTGCGCGGTACATTCTGGAGAAAGAAACCCCTACACAAATTCAAAATGCACATCTGCCGTGGAATAGGCGTAGGTCACCGCTGCCTTTACATCAAGGAGAGTTTTCGTTCTCTTGATTCTTTTTTCTTGCTTCCACCACTTAAAAAAAAAGGAAAAATGTTGTCACCTCACCGCGACTCTTATCAATAATCATTCTCTCCCTCCTCTGTTCACTCTCTTGCATGCTACCATGTGCTGGGCTCACCTCCTTCTACAGCATTCCCACGTCCAACCCACTGCAGGCAACACAAGCATCGCTAACTATATGTCCGCGAGAAAAAAATACGAAATGTAGACAAATACAGGTATGTAGCTAGCAAGCATAATGTTTTTTTTGGACTTGAATACAGTCTCTGGCACAAACAAAACATTTCACTGCACGGTTTGACAGCTGTTCCAATATACTTCCAGCAACGCCGCACAAACCAACAAACGCACACAAACATATACATACATGTATATATATATATGAAAACACATGCGGGCCGCAACGCAAGTGCGTCTAAAGGGTATATTTCTAGAATAACCGAAACTCAGCTTGTTGCGCGGCGGTCAGCGGAGCCAAACAGTCATCCTGACTTTCTGGGTACCGCTCAAAGTTACTCGTGTCGCCGGCGTTTCTCGTCTTTACAGGAATTGGGGCGGGGTAGTGACGCGCGTAGAGTTTATCCCAGTTGGCACCCTGGAAGTACGGGTGGCTCTTCACCTCTTCTACGCCACCCTTCATCGTGCCCAGGCGCTTTGTGTGGTCAGTCTGCAGCAAGCCCTTCACAAGATCTCGTGCACGCGGGTCAAACCAATTTGGAAACTTGAAGCGGCCTGAGAGAATCTTCTCGTAGGTACGGAACGGTGTGTCATCGTAAAACGGCGGG